TTCTCCTCCTCTCCTCCTCCTCTCTCTCTCTCTCTCTCTCTCTCTCTCTCTTTAGCGGTAATTTCAATTTCGTTCGTGATTAATAAAAAAGAAAAAATTCTTACGTTCCGTTTCGTTCGTCGTATTATAAAAAAAATAAAAAAAAAAAAATTGTAAAAATTTTTCAAGAGAGAAACCAGCTTTTTATTTCCTCGATGGTTATAAATTTGTTAAACATTCGGACAATACTCTCACTTATACGGCCACGGGTGTACTTTGAAATTGTGATAAACGCGAATATATAATTCATATCCTTGACTTGCTAAAATACATAAAAAGGGGTTATGATTATTAATGGCTCGTTTCTTGGCTCCGCAATTTTATTGTATTTTCATATATACGCTGTTTACAAATGTACACAAGCGACTTGAAAAAATGTAGATTCACTATGAATAAACGTTACGAGTAGACGAAAAAAAAAAAAGAAAAAAAATCCGTATTATCCGATTTTATACTATCGTGGATACTATTTAAAAATTTTTAAACACGAAGTTTAATAATTCTAATATTTATAAATTACTTAAAATTACATTCAATCTCTTTTTATTCAAATAATGGGTCGAGGAAAAAATATTTCGTTCATATTTGGTAGTGATTTATTGTATCTCCCTCCGTTTAACAGTAATCTTCTCGCGTTACAATCTCTTTGGCGATTTACACATATCCGTAAAAATATTATATAATCTACAATAAAGATCGCCGCCATTTGACAGCGCTGCAATCGACAATTACGATCGTCATCGTATACTCGTATTACGTGTATTTCAATAGAAATCGCGGCGTCTGTATCTGCAACAACCCGAATCAAACGCAATCACCTGCAACGAATTTATGTTTATTCATTTTATTTTTAATTAAATGAGCAATAGATACGAATATACCGATTTAATTGTCGATCAGATGGTGTCAAATGGACGATAACCTTAACTCTGTGCCATAAAATGTTTCATAGATTATATAGAACGATTACCAGTGACGAATAATTGAGCAATTCGTTATTACCGTTGGAACGGGATTAACTAGAGTGGAGAAGATACGAATCGAAAGCCCGAAATATCGTGTAGAAACTCTTCTTTCTTTCTCTTCTCTCTCTCTCTCTCTCTCTCTCTTCTTTTGGCTTCTTCGGAAAAATGATAATAACATCGATAATCAAAGTGTCGCGTGATAAATAATGGCAGTATCGTTGGAAAAAACGGATAAAAAAGATTTTTCATCGTGTTTTCTCGCTCGCCGTGTTATCGAGTGGCCATTCGAATAGGGGAGGGAACCTCGTTCGTCAATTTCAGTTTAAATTTACAACGTATTCTTTTTGATCAGGGGCGGTACATCCGACGATACTCGAACCGTAACAACCTGTGCAAATAATTAAAAAATGAGATCGATGCCTGTGACTTCCATTAACGTTCCACTCACGGCTTATTATATACGGAACAGATTTAATTTTTAATCGTTTAAGGGCGGGGATCAATAATAGAAAAACGAGCGATTGTATCGAATGTGAAACAATGACAAATCACTTTTTACCAATGAAATGATAAAAACACAAAGGGTTTCACAAATTAACGTATCGGAATTTTTATATGCGTGTCGAATTTTTATCGAGAGATTTTTTTTCTTTTTTTTTAATCGATCGATGCAAAATTTATGTTTAATATAATGTACCATGTAATCGAAATATGTAAAAGCTACGGTCCTACGAATCATCGTCAATTCAAATATTTGCATGAAACACAATTTCCCTTAAATAAATAAAAATATTCGCATGTTCGAAAAAAAAAATAAACAAATAAATTAAACCTCGAAACCTGATAAAATCGACATAAAAAGAAAAAAGAGTGTAGTGGTATAAAAAACATGCAAGTACTTTTCAACCGATCCATCTTGCCGATTCTATCGGACGCTCTAAACTTCGCACGTCACTGGATACGTTCTAAGAATCCAACAATACAAAATATCGATTCTCGTCGGCTCACCGGCTTAATTGCACTCGACACAAGCCAATTCCAATTTCTCCTCTCTCCCCTCCCCTCCCCTCCATTGTCCCATGAATATAACGAGACGTTCTCCATATTCTTGCCTGTACAATCTTCAATCTAAATCTTCGAAAGGAAAGAAAAAGGAAGAAACACATCCCACTGGTTCCATCCAGCAGCAAAGATCGATCGATCTCAGATTTAAAAAGAAAAAAAGAAAAAGGAAAAAAAAGCTCTCAAATCACAGACAGCAGCTAACGAGGTATACCACGTTCCACACTCAAGTTCCACCGACCTCGTTTCCCTGTTTTCGTGTACGTGCCGCGAAACTCACCGGCAGTTTTATATTTATTCCTGTATCCCCGCATGCCGGTCCCTGATGACTTTGGTGATCCGTGAGTGGAAGCAGTAAACGGGCTTATTAGTTTCGTTTAAGGTGAACCAATGAGGCGGAAGTATCGGTAGGAGTAAACCATCCTCGACGTTGATCACGGCCACTTGATTGCCGTGATCTTTCGCTGCCTCTCTTCCGTTCGTTCATTCTTCTTCCTCCCTTTTCTATTCCTTTCGTGTATATTTCCTCGACTCGTTTCGTAAATATCTTGTCTCGATCTTTCACTCTCCGATCACAATACACCGTGAATACGATTTCTCGTTAATTGATACTTTTCGATAAATATTATAATACAACGTGGTTCGTTCGAATAATTCGAACGATGGCTCGAAAAATAATTCTCTCTTCGTGCGTTTGTTCCCCCCCCCCCTCCCTCCCGCCTTTGTTTCCTTCCTTGTGTTTATGGGACGACGGGTGAATTTGGTTCTCTGATCGGTAAGAATCGATAAATACTTTCACTGCTAATATAATTCTATTGACGATAGAAAATTGACATTATCGAAAACATCTATGTAGCATTATTAACGTAACTAACGTGTATAATTATTCGAGACTTGGATAAAATTAACGTTTCAACGTCGATATATAATAAATTACATTCCCACATCGCGAGAAGAAATTCCTTATAATATCCATTCAGCTATGTACAAAACCCTCGGCGCGGATTTAATATCGGACACCTTTATAGGCCCTATTATATTCGTATATCAACGGTCTCTGGTTCTGGTCCGTGTATGATATAGTCCGTGTGAATCGATCGAATAAACCGGGTTTGATCCAAAATTATTTCATCCTTACCTAAAACCAAGTTTGTACGATGAGTGTGCATATGGATTTAGAAGTTAACGGTCGATCCATGAAACTTGACGTTTCGTCTTTACACTGTCCTGTATGTGATATGTCCAAGTGTTTCTCCCCCTCGACTGAAGGTGAAAGATACCTGATTGAGACGATCTACATACACGTGATATGTCACCGATTGACCGGGACGGATATTACGGGAGTAAGAAAGGTATCAAGCGGGAAAATACCGTGTGAAAACGTGAGGGCTTTGAGGGCTATGACTTCAGCATCCATCCAAACAAGAAGTTTCCTCCTTACGTGTGAAGGAACGATTTGCATGTCGAACTTTGGCTGGATAAATCGTCCATCTTGGTTGCTGAAGTGGTCGTCGTGGATTGATCGTCTAATTACAAAGATATCGGTGATACACATATCACATATCCTGAGAATAGGCCGTACTTTCTACTTTCACCGTTACGTTATTTAATAAAATTTAACGAGTGAAATGATAGGCGAGCATCTTGAGCAGGACGAAGTAATTGATTAGTTCATCGATAATGACAGATGAATGTCGGGCTATTAAGGGGATCTTGCAACGTGGAAACGGGAAAAGGTCGTAGATATAGCTGATAAAGTCGGTTCGAGTAACGACCATTAGTCGGCACATTAACCATCATTTTCTTCATTTTAAGCGCGTGAAACATTTTTCAAATCTTGCGAAGGATTGGTGAAGGGCATCAAACAAGAATGGATGGATCGATTTTTAGGTGTGAAAGTCGGTGTTTGATCTGTCTGCATTTATAAATAAACGCGAAAACTTTTGAAACCGTTGTTCAACTTCAAATATTTTAATGCTGTAATCTGACACATGTAGATCGTTCGCGATACGAAATACAAAATATATAGAAAACGATCTGATCTTCGACTCGACGGTGTGAAAAATATAACGATTAGACCGTCTACGAGCGCGATGACGTTCGAATATTCGAACCGCCCGTTTACAATGTTCAAACGTTATGGCACAAACGTGTCGGGTAGACGAATCAGAGGCCACCACCATCCTTGGGACGATCACGGATCGGTGTCACGTCGCGCGACGAGTATGAAGGACGGCGATCAAGATCTCGCGATAAATCAACGAAATCTTCGACGAATTTTTCGTCAGTGGGCGTTCTTCATCATCTTTAAGGGGTCGCGCATGTAACGGGCGAAAACCTCTTTCTTGAACGTCTCGAAGTGTTTCCTGTTGGCGCTGTTCTGCCGTTCGCGCCAAGCCGGCCTGGTCTTTCTGGTCTGCAGACCCCAGTGGCCGGTGAAAACCGGGGAAGTACCTTGAATTGGTAACCAGCCACGAACATTTCGTACACCTATGCAGAAAAGAGAAATCGTTCTTTAAATACTTTGTCGATGTATGCACGTTTTCAGAAGAAATAATTAAATTAGAGATGTGCCTGTTGCTGAGAAGATGAAGAGGAAGAATTATGATGTCACTTTTTTTATTATGTCTCACGTTGAAGAAGGAAATAAGAAATCATTCGTATTTTAAATAAGCAATCGCTTCAACTTTGCTTTCAAGACTTCTCAACAAATAATATTCCACAAATAATATCCAATTTTGATAAAGAAGCTTGAATGTTTAAAGTTTTTTACGGTATTGAAAGTTTTACAGAGTTTCTAATAATAAGACATCAAAATATAAATTTTGTACATCTGATAACAGTGAAAATTGATTTAGAATTTACTTGCCATCCATCCAACTTAATATTTTGAACGACATAAGAATACAATTTGATTGAATTGAACCTAATTCAAATATTCAAATTGTTTTAATCGACAAGAAGAAGAGAGGAAATAAAAATTTATTCTCTGCTTTTCTGTACAGGTTTCTATAAATGAAAACCTCAAAACTATAGCATAGCATGTAAAATCCCTGACAATGGCTGTTACACATTTTTCCCGTTTCCAAATCAAAAACGTGAAACAAACGTTGTCCAAATTTTCCACGTTTCGCAACTTGTTCGCGAAATTGAAAAAGTATTCTTACGTCCGTTGCATGCTCTACACGCAGAGAAAGTCCATGGAAAACATGGATGGATACAATGGAACGGCACGTAAAATTACATCGCTTCGCTGTTTCTTCCGCTTGTGCGTTTTCTAAGTTCTTTTCTTCTTCTTCTTCTTCTTCTTCTTCTTCTTCTTCTTTTTCTTCTTCTTCTTTATGCAGAAAATCATCGAATAAAGTTTCAGAAAATTTTCCGTAGATATCACACGCGAACGTAGTGACATTACCACAGGAAACAGTGTGTTTCCTACATTAGAATAGTGGAAGGAGGAGGACGAGAACACGCCTGGCAATCTCGCCCTACGTTCGCCAACTGAGACAGGTCAGACACACCTAACAGACGGCATTGCTGTTCTCCAGTATGGATGCGTCTTCGTGAATAATCATACGTAACAATGGCAAGTCATACGTGACAGTCGCGCATAAACCCGGTAGACAGGTTGTGATTACCAAGTTGTGACTACCGAGAACGGAAATAATAGTATACCTGTTTCGACGTTTCATTCGTAATTACGGCAAACTGTCGACGAGTAAAGTGCATCGGGTCACGTTAATTCGATACTGTTTTTCGATAATTTTCAATGATTTAGAAAAATTTGTCGACCAATAAATTCTTATCTTAGTATTTTTTTATTGTTATCGTAGTAAAAATTAATATTGAACATTGTTTTTAAGTCGTACGAACGGCACTTCATTAAATTTTTCAAAGATATAATAACATTCCTGAATCTTGAAAAGAGGAAGCGAATTATAATTAACATCGTCGTGTGTGAATAATGTTTTAAAACGCGGAGTTTCACGAATCTTCCCAAAGAAGAATAATGTTTTAAGGGCTCGCAGAGAGAAGATAAGAGAGACACGGGGTATCGCTGTAATTAACGTGGAGGAACGTAGGATCTACAATGCGCCAATAACGCCTCCCACGACGTCCAAAATTGATAGACGACGTGTAATCTTCAGTTCACTGTTTCAGAGACGACCAGTGAATAATTATATGTACGTAGAGGCAGAATGACATAGTGCTACAGTTTCCAGGACCAGTATTGTTAATCACGCGAATTCTATCGTAAGAACGTACGCTACCTCCATCTATTGTCGTCCAATCATTCAAACATAATCTCGTTTGTGCAACTGTGTACACTTGAATGAATTTCATTTTGACGATGATAACGTCGATGAGTGTGAAATATGATCTTGAAGAAAATATAAATTCTTATTTTACATAATTGAAAATAGCAATAATTTTAATGTTTGAATTTTTAATGGACTAATGCCAATAAGAAGAAATTAGATTTCATCTTATCGTTGATTGTCGTAAATCGCATTAAAGAAGTTTTAAACTGTATCTTATCCAAGTTTTTACATTGTATTTTTAGATTAAAATGATTGGATCGTCGATCTGATGGTCGTTACTAAATCATCGTTAAAATTATCACGTACTTTGACCAGAGAAATCTTGCACCGAGACTAGAAATATTAATTGCGTGCAATGGTCGAACGTCATCCTTAATGTAAACACTTGCCTCGTTGATTAGTAAAACTGAATTGCCTGTGTAACGCGCATTGCACACGATTATACATCTTAATTAGTCAGTGGACGGGAATTAATTCCCTTTACAGCATTTCCCCTGGGTCACATTCTTGCGGCCGTGGTGTAAAACATTTCTGGCTCTTGGAACACGAGCCACTCATGGGGCACCTGTTTGTCCTGAGTTTCGAGAGAACACAGATTGCATTAAACAACGTAACGTAACGAGTTGACGTATCTTCCTAATTATCCGGCCCGGACACTTTGCTTTGGCCGAAGAATTCCATTTCTGCATCTAAAATAATCACAGACCACGACAGACAAAGAAAGAAAGAAAGTTTCGAGTTAATTTTTATTTAGCCAACGAAATGTAAAAGAAACAAAATCTAAATCCAAAATAAGATTGGTGACTAATTATGAAAGTAGTACGCATTGTTAATATATTCCTCTTTTAGATATCAAAACGATGACAAAAGTTTTATACGTGTCTTAATTAATGAATTACAAGTTCACGTTAGACAAAGGAAGATGGAAATAGAATGAGATCGCTCCATCTTCTGTAACACTCGGCTCTCAACTCGCTTTATTACCAATTTAAATTTTTCAACTAAGTTAATTAATAATAATTTTAATAGATATATACGTGTCGCAACTTTTTTCATCGTATAAAATTCATATAAAATTCATCGTTCAATGATATTCCACGTTTTTTAGATACGTCTCATTTTATTTTGTACATATATAGAGAGAATATATACAGAGAGAGAGATTCGATCCTCCAAAAGTGTGAATATATTAACATCGTATAAATCTGTTTAAAGTAAATGGAATATTTGACATGTTACGAATAAATATAATATATAATTTCATAAATAATTTCCATTTAATGTACGAATATCTCTATCAAGATATTTTAAATTGCCCACGATATACGAAAGAATTGTTCTTCGTTTCAAACAATTCGTTTCAACCCTCGTACAACAAAGCTTTGAATATTCGAAATTGCGGTTAGAATAACCGCTAAAACTTTTCAAAAGCAAACGGAATGATCCAAGGTATTTAACATATTCCAGACTGCGCTCCGTTTGGCTCCACTCTATTCAAACGATATCCAACCGTTGTAAACTGTAAATTTACGCAATTTTGGTAGATCCAGCTAACGATCGTTCTTTCGTTTGGCCTGCACTGACAGCATATTCCATTCGGTTTTGCCGGTTTCTCTCCTCGCCCGGATGCTGAGAAGAGGAATACGAAATGTTGAAACCGGGCCCTGGGCGCGTTCACACTAATCATTAACCTTCGTACGTGGATGCACTTACACCGTGGAACATCCTGTTTATTTATAGGTATTTGCACTACTGTACGAACACAACGTTATCAAGCGGAACACCTCGGAATTATTTCTGGACTAAGGGGAGAGGATGTGGGCGACGAAAGGAAGGAAATTCTCGGTTGTTGCGCTTTTGCGCCCCCTCCCTCAAGAATTAGGAATTTGCCGGCAGATGGCTCTAATTTTCGAGAAAATTCGCCGGATAACGAGGATGATACGGAAGAGAATTAGCTTTCGAAGGAGGGAAAATTACGAAAACATGAAAATAAAGGGTTTATCTCTTTTTTACTGCATTCTATCTCGTTTCTATTATTTTTGTACACCAAGTACATAGTAAACGTGGAAATAATTCAATCATTGAAGTATAATAGAATTTAAATTTGGAATTTTCCTTAATCTACAATTTCGTATCTGCAACTATTTTGAAGAAAATGTGTATAAGGATAATCGTATCGCTATTAAATTATCGACGAAATAAATATTAAAATATTAAAAGAGTTGCACCAAAGATGTCGCATGAATCGTATGTAAGAAACGATATGAAGTTTATGCCCGTAAATAGTTATGAAGAAATGGCAATTTTATGGCACTTTGTATCTGTTGTGGGCAAAGTATAAGGGAAATGAAACTGGACGTGGGTTTTGTTATACATCGCGTGTACCTTGGGGAAATGTGCTCGGGTTAATTTCACGGTTCAGCATCGACGGAGGCCACCATTGCCACCGCGGGCCATTACGATCATGACACGCCACGCCACCGCCTAACACACTTTATTCGATCCCTGTGTTTCTAGAATTTGGGTGATTAAATTTAACGAGGGGATAAAGATATTATCCCCTTTTAGGGGATTATGGTTCCGCTGATTTACAAATACGTTTAAACGAAAACAAAGACACGATTACCATTTCACCATTTGAGAATTATAAAAAGGACAAATGTTTGGTCAAACACCAAACTGTCCAAAATGAGCATAAATACATTGAAATTTAAGAAATATGATACAATTTCCAAGAAATTAATAATTCAAGTGGTATTTATCTTTCGATTTCATCTTTCATCGATCAAATTCTATTTCTGTTCTCTAGAATCTACTCCAATCAAATCACAAAAAATCGAAATTCAATATTCCACATTTCCTTCGCTGGAAATACCACAAAATATCCCATAATCCGTTTCCACTGAAAAACAAGCCACGTAAGCCCACGTAATAGCGCGAAATCCAACCACGGAATTAATGAGAGAATAACGAATGGCCAAAAAACTCACTCGTCGAATCAAACTGTCGTTCCATTCGGTTGATCCTAGCTCTCAAGCGGGAATACAAAATGGCGGTTCCCTTTATCAAAATGGCGCTTGCCTCCGCCCGAGGTGATTCTCCGATGAATATCTTGGAATAACGCATTAGGGCCATACGTGACGATGCATTCACGGGCTCCCCTTAAGTTTG